ATTAACTTCGGATCGGCGACGTTCGTACAGGAAGGGCAACTGCAGTCCGGAAGTGGTAGGCAACCGCTACTCCTGCCCTGAACTGGAAATGTGGGCTCTCTGTGTGACACTGTACGTGTTGTTGTTCTTCGAGAACCCATTTGTGGACGTTGAGGAAATCCGTGGACAAGAGTCCGAAAACCATCACCATCCAGGAGCTACTGGAGACGGAATGAATGACGCAGGAAATCAATTCGTCACAGTTTAATTTTCCCAAAATTGTCCCCTGCTAACTGTACGAAATCAATCCGTCGAAGAGCTACGTAGATGCAAATATCTGCGCCAGCCAGACGGGACTGTCCACGTCGCCGCAAAGCCTTTCTATATTGGGTAATGTCGATAGTGAGCAGCGTTGCCAGTATTCCAGATTTATCTGGATTTTCCAAATTTTCAGTCGTCTTGCCAGATACACAGACAGATCAAGTATATTTCCATATTTTTTAAATATGTTCCAGATTTTCTCAGATTTTTTATATATGTTAATGGACTCTCTAATCAAAAAAATAAAAAGTCAAACTGACATCTTTTTAATTATAAAGTACCATCAGCGTTGGATATTATTGCAACATCGTACATGGAATTGCTACAGTATGTTTGCAGTGGGTTGCAGAGTCATGAAAATTGAGATATTTTCTAAAGATTATTAAAAAAAACCTTCAAATTTTTAAAAATACCTGGCCTGGTTTTATTTATTTTTTTTTTTTTTAGGTTTTGTTAAGATTTTATCTATAATTATTTTTTTTTGAAATCCTGGATTTATAAAAACCAAAATTTCAATTGGCAAATCAAAGTTGGCACTCGTGGAGAATAGAAGAACTATAACAGTGATGATGGTTTCAAAATTTTCCACGGGGAAGTATACGAATGCAATCTTAAAATGCTTTTATTTTGCAAATGGAACATTTTATTTAAATCTGGTTGCTGCTACAGTGGTAGAAAAGCTCAAATCTATGTGTACACCTAAAAATCTGAAAAGAAATTAATTTTTCTGTATTATTTGTCTATTGAGTAGTCCTTAAGTTTTCTACTAACATAGCATCAACCAGATTTAAATAAAATGCTCCATTTGCAAAATAAAAGCATTTTAAGATTGCACTCGTATACCTCACCGTGTAAAATTTTGAAACCATCATCACTCTCATAGTTCTTCTATTCTCCACGAGTGGCAACTTTGATTTGCCAATACGAAGGATTTTTTTTTTAATTTTGTAGAAATTGAAAACTGTTCAGAATTGAAAACAATAAATTGAGTTTAGGAAAATTAGCAAGGCTTTTGAATCTAGACATTCACCAGGTCTTTGAAGTATATTGGTGAGATTTTTGAAGATAATTCATAGGATTTTTAAAGTACCTGCGAATATTGAGTTACCTTAGCAGTCTGAATTACGTCAAATTCTGAATTGCCCTAGAATTCAGAGTCTTAAGGTAGTTCTGAAAATAGTTGTGAAGTGTGAGGCCAATTTCTTGTGAAACCAAAGGGAATTTCAGCTTAATTCTGAGTAGGGTTGTGGGCTTCGTCACCCGTCGTTCAGGCGTATTGTGAGTGTCATGAAGTGAGGGTTCGAATCCCGCTCCAGCCGGTGTAACTTTTTGGAACCTGAAAATTTACCTACTGGCACAGAGAACAGACATCCAAGTCAAATTCTTAAAGTGTGTAAGAAATTTAACTTAACATGAATGTCAAAATTGTTGTGAGCAAAACATTGTTTGTATAAAACCGATCAAAACATGGGCCGCAAGTGCGAGTTTTATTGGTGCGCAAATAAACAAGGTGTTACCAAGCGAAAATCTTTTCACAATTTTCCAAAGGATGCTGAACTGTCCGAACTACAGGAGATTTTCTTGTCACGTGTAATCCAAGCGCTTGCAACGAAAAAGTTATGTTCCGACCACTTCCACCGGAGGTTTTTCGAGTTCCTGGAAGAACGGATGTAGGTTAAGCAGTGTTCAAATCTTACCACATGAATTTAAATGAGGGCTAATTCTAGTTCACACCCTCACTGAATCATTTGAAGATACGCCGCCAGTGAACTCAAGAAAAGTCAATTTTGCTCCTGATTACTATGCTCAGTTAAACTTGGAACGAAAAACGGTTGTAGATCATCAGGAAACTGTAAAGCTGTGTTCCATTTGGTGAATTTTCACTTAAATTTGACAGATGAAAAAAATTCTAATAAACCTGTTATTCCAGCAGACTTATTTCTGACAGACAAGGAATCAACTTTGACAGATGCTTTCTCGAAAATGGGCCGTTCAACAACAGAGGGATTTTCGAACATCATAATTTATTTTCGAAGTGTCAAATTTAAGTGAAAAATTTCAAAATGGAACACAGCCTTAAAGACTTTAGTTTTTTATTCGAAAATAATGGTTCCGCAGAACTCGAATAATTTCCGTTGTTTTGTCTTGTTTGTTTTGAACTGATTTCACAGTTCATTTTTATACACGGTCAAAAATATCAACCCAAATTTCAGTTCATTTTACTTATTAATCGTGATAACTCGAGTCGCAGCATTCCGTATGGCAGCGCCAGTGTTTCTAACGTATTTTAATTTGAATTCTTACATTTAATTTTTCGAAAAAAATTGTTTAAGCTTGGATGTCTGCTCTCTGTGCTACTGGTGTGTTGTCAGTTGTCTAGTGTTAAGTATGCAATCTGTGCAACCTCTGGTTGAAGATGTTGTCAATTGTCTTTTAAAAACTCTGATGACATTTGCATGGAGATTTTGAGAAGAAAGGAAATAGTTAGAATTCGGAAGAGAAATCATAGAAAATTCTTAAGATGAAACTTAAGGAGTATGCTGATACGAATCGTGAGAATAATTTTAAAGGAGTTCTGTCCAATGTTACTATGGAGATTAATTTTCATCGCATTTATAGTAATTTGATCAGAATTATGCGAAAATAATATCTGGCAATTTCTGGAATACTTTCAAGGCCATTTTGCCAAAGTACTTGAGTACTTAAGCATACTGAAGAGGATTTCAAATGAATTCTCACATTACCTTACGAAGTAGTTTAAATGGAATTAAATAATAATAAGTTTGGATATTATCAAGATTATTTTGGGGGAATCCAGAAAGTCAAAGCAAACATTTCATGTGTATGCTGGGATTTAGCTTAGCTTTATCCGAGACTCAGCAATCAAATGTCACTTTTGCAGAGATCTCAGTGAAATTTATTTTTACAAAGATTTGTACAACCGAGCTCAGTAGAAAAAAAAAACTAAGTGTGTATGATGGAATTCTAGGATGATTCAAATGAAACTATGAAAAAAGAACGAAGATGTCCAGTGAAGAGTTCCAACTTAATTCAGACTAACAACAAATTTCATGATCCGGGACACAGGAAAAATATAAATTCCAAAATTTAGAATCATTTCAAGATCCTGAGACTTCAAAAATAATGCTTTCAGACTTTCATTTTAGTTACCTATATAATAAAATTATTCTTTGGCATAAAATTAGTCGTAATGGTCATGTGAATAGTGGAGTTACCCGTAGTTTGTTTGTGTCAACAATCAAATTTTGACACATCCCACTGCACATACGCAGAAAGAATGCAGTGATGCCAATTACTTTAGAGATCACTTAAAATATGTACCATGGGTGCCAAACAGTGCCACTGAGTGAGTCATGGTGTGCCCTACTGTATTTTTGGCACACTGTGTTTTACAGACTAACCAAGACATTCGACGATGTCGTGACTAATCTTATGTACCTTAATTAATTATTTAATTAACTAATTTTTAATTTATCTCTGAACCAATCATGCAAGGAGCAAGACTGCTTCTAATTCATGTGCAATTTCAGAGTTGCTTTTGAGGCACCTCGAGTAACTCACATTGCTCAGTGAGAAATATCACTGTCATTTGCTTTCTAACTGTTCGCATTACAGCAACAACAATCGTGAGCTTCCGCTCTGCAACTCCAGGCGATTATGATTGCGATTTGGAACTTTCGGTACCTGCTTTGGAGAGCTTGATTGATCAGGGACGATCCTTTCGGAGTCAGTAGGTTTGGTTGCTGAGAAGGAAGAACAACTGCTGAAAACAGGCTGGAAGTGTAGGTTATTGTTGATAGTAGGCAGGCACTGGCACAGGTTCTTCCATAATATTCAAGTTATTCAAAAGGCTCAAAAGACACTTGGGCTTACTTTGTTTACAAACTAAACTGACGTCTAATATGAGACGCCTTTTCTTAAAAGGAGTAAATGGAGTAAGCAGAGAAAAAATCGTTGAACGTTGATAAATATTGAGGCACTCGCTGCAAAAAAAGGAGCTCAGAGTAAACCTGTCTCACCCCTTGCAATCATGGTGTCGAACATTTCCATGCCAGGCATGATCGGGCATGCAAGGAGTTTGAGATCGGACCTTTTTTTATTTGCATGAATCTGCTTCTCTATCTTCAACTACCTTCGTAACAGGATATGTCTTGCTCAGGTTTTATACTAGAACTACTTTACTCGGAAAACTGTAGCAAAAGAATTCAAACACTATTCCTCCAATGACACCAACATAATTTCTAAAAATTTACTCTTTAAGCTATTGTGGTAGAAAAAATCGCCAACTGACTCGTGCGCGAGCAGATTGTGGTGAGAGAAAATAATATAGTTTTTTTTTTCAATTTTAAGGATATTTAGATATTTTACCAAGACATAATATGAACGTCGAGACCAAATTATGGGCTATAAGACCTAAAACCTAAAACCTAAATTGTTGCTCGGGATGAGTATATATGATTTGGGAAAACCCTAATTCCCGCATTTTTCCCGGCAAATCCAAATTCCCGGTTTTTTCCCGGATTTCCCGATGCGAATTCACCAAAATAGTCTGAAAACCCTCACAATAATCTTGAGAACACCAAGGTAGAAACGCCAAAATTGCCCAGAATGTCAATGAACATTTTAGAACATTCATTATTTTTCCTACCCAGAAATAAAGAGTCAGTTCCCAAACTTACCGACAACGGTAAACAGTACGGCGGTCCACTTCTCCGCCAGGCGACACCTTTTCTGCATTTCCATCGAGTCGTTACTACTCTGATTGCTCAGCATCCTCCGGGAAGACTGTTCCACCTTTCCCACACTTCCCATGGTGACACTTTTCGCGGACCCGATTCGATTTAATTTATGATGAGCTTTCAGCTATGAACTTCACCAGCAACTTCCAGCAACCCTTTTTTGACACTCGAAGCTTTCACCTATCACGCCCACCAACCCTCGCACCTTTGATGACGACTTTGTGGTTCGATTGCACCACCGCCTACTATACTCTACTTTGGCAGCGAAACACGAGCGTTCGTCATTCAGTCAATATTATGCTCAAAAACCCACTTGGTTTTTTGTTTTCCTCGCTATGCTCTCACCTCAAATGGTTCCGAGAGCAGAAAGGAAAACTGTTTGCGATGCAAATTATGCCCTCACACCCCACACTTTTTTTTTCTTTTTTCTCGCTGGTTGTCCTTATTTTTTGTAAGCTCAGGTTTTCCTAAACGGTAATTAAGCCCCACCAGCGGCACTTCGACGATGGGATAAGGCACGATTTGGAATGTTTCCTTGCTCCTCTGAACAATGAATGAAACAAAACGACTGTATAGAACGTTTGCGCGGAACGATCCGACCGAGGCTGACTGAACCGGTGCTCTGATCGCTGCTCCGTCCGTCTAGATGTAGCGAGAATATTTCCAATATGGAGGAAATACAAGCACTTATCAGTAGTATTGAGATAGTGGCTATGTTGTTTTATTTAAAAAAAAAACTCTCAAACTTCTTTCGGTGCCATGCATGTCATGCATGGCGAGAACTTTGCTACGAAGAAGAATAAGATAACGGTGGTGGCGATGCGGGAAAATTGTTATTTTCTTTTTCGGGTTTCTTTTCGCTGATAAGACAGTTCTTGTGCAGTGCCTACTTGGATGCAGTTAGTCATAAGAAAGTGATTCGTTATATTTCTGTTTTTGTCAATGAATGACAATCAGGGTGGGAAATGGTTGAAAATAATTTACGAGGGAGATTGTGGCAGCATTTACTATTTCCGGTTTGCCTAATTACCCACTGCTCAATGAATGCTATGTGTAGCCCAAATTACAAGTATGGTTGATTTGGTTGAGCCGTTTGATGGATAAGCTGGATGATTTATTCTGTGCAATTAAGAATTGTGTGTCAAACGTGGATGATAACAGTAGACAGCCGTGATTTTCAACATGGCGTTTTGGACAGGATTTGTTACAAGAATGATGTCTTCCAATCGGTGCTGTCGTGGTAAAATTGAAGCAAGTTAGTCTCAATATGGTATATAAGGGTGCTACTATTAGGAAAAAAAATATAAATTATGGTTTCCGAAAAAGCTAGTTAGTTGTTGATCGTGCTAGACTACAGCAGTAACAGCACTGCCTAAAATCTGTGCCTCTTTTGAAGAATGATTTCAGGTTGTTGAGATACCGTCGTGGCTATATTGAGCGTGCAGTATTGACCAAGACTTTACCCAAATCCAATTGATTCCATTTGAGCGTGTAGAGAGAAACTGTCAATAAATATATTCATTCTGTTGTTGTTCTCACCGAAACCACATGTGATGTGATTATTATTATTGAAAGAATTCAATAGGTTATGTGTCCAGTTTTTACGCGATTAAATCGAAGTTTTTTTTTTTTTTCTAACTTTTCGGCGGGTTTCGTTGTTCCGGGAGTAGTTCGCGAAAAGAAAACGTCGTACGAAATGGAGGAGGAATCGAAGAGTTTTCGAATCAAACCATTCGATGGAATTGGTTTCAACAACTGGAGCTTCCGCATGCGAGCTTACCTCCAGCAGCTGGAAGTGTTACACTGCGTGGAGCGGAGTACGGAAGAGGAAGAGTTTTGGAATACTCCTGATACGGCAACGGCGGAAGTGAGAGCGGCGAATAAGATCCTGGTTCAAGCGCGAGTGAGAAAATACAACAAGTGTCGGTCTGTCCTAATTCAAGCGGTGGCGGACAGCCACCTTGAGTACGTCAAGGACAAAGTGTCACCGAAGGAAATCTGGGACGGTCTACATGATGTCTTCGAACGGAAGAGTATAACTAACAGGTTCTTGCTGAAACGGCAGCTGCTCGCAATGCGATACAACGAGAGTGAGAAGCTGCAGAATCATTTTTTACGGTTCGACCAGCTTGTGCGAGAGATAAAAGGTGCTGGTCGTATGGATGAAGAAGACGTTATATGCCATCTGATGTTAACGATGCCAGATTCGTTCGATGCTGTCACCACAGCAATGGAAGCAATTTCGGAAAAGCTGACAATGGATTTGGTGCGACGAAAGTACCTCGACGTTGAGGCTAAACGCAGAGGGCAGCGGCAAGAAGCTGAAACGGAGGAAGCGGCTTTCGTGGGAAAATTCAAAGGCAAACTGAAATGCTTTGGCTGCGGGGAGCTCGGGCAAAAACGTGCTCAATGTCCAAAGTCCAGCGAGAAGAAGAATAGTGCGTCGAAACCAGTGAAGAAAAGTGAAACGCAAAAAGCAAATGTGGGAGTAAAAACGGTGTCGTTCGTGGCCGCTGAAACCCACCCCGAGATGGCGGCGATTAGTAAAATGACTGACGTGCGGTGGTTTTTGGACAGTGGGGCATCGGATCATATGTCCAACGACAGATCACTGTTTTCGGTTTTGGAAAAGTTGGATCGTCCGGTTGAAATTCTAACTGCCAAGAGTGGTGTGAGCTTGGTTGCAAGCTACAAAGGTCGTGTTATCGCTAGTGCTTTGGTGGATGGTAAAAAGATTCAGATTACCATGGAAGACGTGCTGTTCATTCCGGAACTGTCACTGAACTTGCTTTCGTTGCGACGTCTAGAAAATTCCGGGAAAAGAGTTGTATTTTTCGGCTGAAAAGTGAGTGTCGAGGACGAAGAGGGAGTTGTGGCTACCGGACGACAACTAGGCCGTCTGTACTGTATGGACTTTGTTTGTGACAAATTGAAGCCTGACGAAAAAGCGCTAGTGAGTGGTCGAGTGTGCAAAAGTTTGAAAATGTGGCATTATCGATTTGGCCACCTTGGCAATGAGAATCTCATGAAACTTGTGCGGAACGAGATGGTCGAGGGCATGCGGATGGAAATCGGGCGCGCTAATACCGAAAAGTTCTTGTGTGAACCGTGCATTAACGCAAAACAGACGCGGGAACCGTTCGAGTCGCGGGTGGAAAAGCGTGCTAGCAGGCCTCTCGAGATTGTGCACAGTGACGTTTGTGGCCCCATCTCCCCTCTCTCCTGGGATGGCCACGAGTATTTTGTTACGTTTACGGACGATTTTACGCATATGGCGGTAGTTTACCTCATGAAGCGTAAGTATGAAGTGCTTGAACGGCTGATGGAGTACGAGGCGATGGTAACCGCCCATTTCGGGACAAAGATCGCGCGTCTCCGAAGTGACAACGGCGGCGAATATACCGGAAAATCCGTGAAGAACTTCTGTAGGCAGAAAGGCATAAGGCTGGAGAAAACGGTGCCATATACGCCAGAGCAGAACGGGGTTAGCGAGAGGCTGAATCGAACAGCTATTGAAAAAGTGCGTGCAATGCTCGAAGCCAGTGAACTTCCGAAGGAAATGTGGGGTGAAGCGTTGTACTCAGCTATATATCTGCTGAATCGAAGCCCGACTGTCGCGGTGGAAGGTAATATCACGCCATATGAAGCGTGGTACAACAAACGACCGAACGTATCGAATCTTCGCGTGTTCGGAAGCGAGTGTTTCGTACATGTTCCAAAAGCATTGCGGAAGAAACTTGATGCGAAAAGCCAAAAGGCAGTTTTTGTGGGCTATACGCCGAACGGTTTTCGTTGCTGGAACGGTGAAAAAGTGATTGTGGCTAGAGACGTCGTCTTCAATGAGTCACGATTCGGGAAGCTCACTGCAGTTAATGAAGAAAACCGGGTTGATGAAGTGATTATCATGGAACAGCCGGATAAATCGGAGCGTGATGGTGTTCAAGAAGACGATTCAGAGGCTGGAAATAGTAATCCTCCAAGTGAAGAAGGTTGGGAGTCGGCAGCCGACTCGGCAGAAGAAGCGGTCGGAGGTGCGGATTCGGATCTGGAGGAGACCCCAGAGGAAAACAGTAACGTGAGAAAAAGTGGAAGAGTGATTAATCCACCCAAGTGGTTGAGTGATTATGATGTGGATAACTCGGATATAACGGCGTTTGCGCTCAGTGCGGATGAATTTGTTGAAGACATTCCGTCGGATGTGAAAGTGTTGAAGACTAGAAGCGATTGGCCTATGTGGAAAAAGGCCATCGATGAAGAACTTGCATCTCTGGACAAAAACGATACGTGGACCCTTGTTGAACTGCCAGAAGGTCGAAAAGTGGTGGACAATAAGTGGGTTTTCAAGATTAAACGGAACAGTGATGGTGAAGCGGAGCGTTACAAAGCCAGACTTGTGGCGCGCGGTTTCTCGCAACGGCGAGGCTTCGACTATTCGGACACTTACTCTCCGGTAGTGAAAATATCTACGTTGCGTGTTTTGTTGGCATTGGCCAACCAGGAAGATTGGGATGTGCACCAATTAGATGTCAAATGCGCATTTCTGAACGGCGTGTTGGACGAAGAGGTGTATATGCGCCAGCCGTCTGGTTTTGAGCGGGGAGGTACACTGGTGTGCAGATTAAACAAGGCGATCTACGGGTTGAAGCAAGCTTCGAGGAAGTGGAACTTGCGTTTCCACCAGTTTATGATCCGGCTGCAGTTCAAACAAAACGAGTACGATTCATGCCTGTACAGTTGGTTGAAGGGCGGTGTGGTGTTGTACGTAGTCATCTACGTAGACGATATACTTGTCCTCGGGAACTCGGTGGATATAATATGTATGCTGAAGGCGAAGCTGTGCGGTGAGTTTGAAACTAGGGATCTTCAGGAAGTAAAGTCGTTTCTTGGCTTGAATATACATCGCGATCGCAAAGCAGGAGTGTTGACTGTAGACCAGCGCGTTTACGTAAGTAAAATTCTGGAGCGCTTTGGGATGAGCTGCTGTAAACCGTCTGCTATACCAATGGAGCCTGGCCTGAAGCTAGAGCAGAAGAAGGATACGAAAGAGATGACGTCCAAGCCGTACAGGGAGCTTATCGGTTGCCTAATGTACCTCATGGTGACATCGAGGCCGGACATCTGTGCGGCAGTAAACTATTTTGCTGCATTCCAGTGCTGTGCTACGGAGGATCATTGGGTGCACCTCAAGCGAGTGTTACGCTATCTTCAAGGTACGACCGATTACAAGCTCGTGTACCGTCGACAGGTATCACCAACCATTCTCGAAGCGTACGCGGATGCTGATTGGGGTAATGACCCGAATGATCGGCGTTCGGTTTCCGGGTTCGTTTTCAAGCTGTGTGGATCTGTGGTTGCGTGGACAACCAAGAAGCAGTCTTCGGTCGCGCTTTCAACCACGGAGGCGGAACTGATGGCCCTTTGCCTGACCAGTTGCGAGCTGGCTTGGATGGCGAAATTACTCAGCTCTATTGGATGCGCTATGAACGAACCAATCAACATCTTTGAAGACAATCAACCTTGTATTGCTATAATCGTCGAACCAGGGAAGCAGAAAAGGTTGAAACATGTGGATATCCAGCATTTCTTCGTTCGTGAGTTGGTTGAGGATGGTAAGCTGCGTATTGTGTACTTGCCGACTGAACAGCAAATTGTAAGGTCAATTTATGGTTCGCGTTTATGCGGGTTGGTGGAAGAACGGTGAGAATTGATGCAGTAGTCAATATTGCAGTTTGCATTGAAAGTTGGATTTTCAGCACACTTCTCAAATCACAGTTTATCCTTGTGCTATATTGTTGCCAGAAAAGATTTGATATCGTATTGATAAATAATTTAACAAATTCTTGAATACTTGCTTGAGTATAAGTGCTAAGCATTCACTATTTGCACGCTACAATTATCCCATGTACTATGTAATCTTTTGTTATTGTTTTTTGCGTCATTACAAATCATAACAAAGAAAAAAAACTTTTTTGGATTTACAATTTACAATTTTTTTATGCACAATACATCCTGGCAACACTGCCAGAAGCGATCCTTCAGATTGTCAACAGAAACAAAACAGAGTTGAAATTTGATTGTTGTTGTTTTCTTGAAGTTTCCTGCTGCCTCGGAATTGTGCGCTTGAAAATTGTTGTCGAAATAAATATTGTAGTAGCAACGATTACCAGGTAAAATTAAGTTTTTATTATCTTTTGATCATTGACTGATTCAACTTTTGATAATGTTTGCTTGCAGCAACATGGACGATGACGAGGCTAACGCTGAGGATCAGGAGAATCGGGACACTACGAATCAAGTGGATTACGACGTCAGCTTTGATGATAATTCTGACCAATACTCCATTGAAGCTCTCGACGATGATTGTGACCCTCTGATTCTTCCTTTGGGTCATGATGACGCTGCAGGAAATTCATACACGAATGGAGGAAAACCTGACGAGCCTGCGAAAAGTACGGGCAAAAGCGAAAGGAAACATAATGTATCGCTGTGTGGATCATTCTTAAAGCGTAGGTTTGTTGGAGAAACATCCGGTAGCTTGATAGCTTCAAAAATACTGTACGGTGATACAGTAGAGGAGATTCTGCAAAGTGTGTGGACAATTGTGAAGCCGGTCATTTGTCGTGAAGTTATTTTCATCGAGGATAATGGAAGTCAGGTTCCTACCTGGGCTGATAGTGAACCATCGTATGAGGATTTGCAGAAGTTCGTTTATATGCAGAATAAGAATCGGAGACGAATAAACATTGACCAAATTGACAGCAAACTGCTGATTAGCTGGAACACGAAGGACATACGAGTACATGTACACATCTACTCAACGGCTGTATCGTGCAAGCAACTGTGGGATTTGGTCAACAAACAATTACAGGATACTGATCGAGCGGGTGCTCCCAACAACCAGTCTCTCTCCGTGTTGGCTAATGAGCTTCGAGAGTTGCATGGAAGACAGTTTACCGGTCACGCTAGCGCGTGGAAGCTGTGGGCAAATTACATCCACACGGCTCCAGCACACGAACGGGAACGAAGAATGGCAGAGTTACCTCCGTACTCCATAATTAAGTTCTTCAGGTCTGTACCTATTTCCGAAGCTGTGCAGCTGGAAAGTACTCGAAATGGGCTATCTGTTGCCAGCACCATCAATGACGCATTTTCAACGGAGCTAACAGTATTGGAAGAAGAGGCCGACCAATTGATTGCACTGGGACAGAGGGTAAAGCACCGCATTAGTGCACTGCGGGCTCGATCATCGATCAATTCGAGTCTAGTTTCAGCAATGCAGGACTCTATCAGACCAGAGGAGAATGAAGTAAGCCGTTCCCTTGCAGAAAACGTTTCGGATATGTATGATATTGATCATTCGTGAATCATCATTTTCAAATACATACGTGATTTTTGTACCTGAACAATTTTATTCAAATAAAGCCTCTTTACTCACACTTTTGTTAACTTCACTCTCCTTTAGCATAATTTGGCTGCCCAGCATTTTGCGACAACCCAACTGAAGGGTTAAAGACTCCACCCGATGAATATCCACAGTGATGATAAATTTTGGTACAATCATAGTTTTCCAACCCCATAAATGTTTCCAGAGCCAAATGGGACAGGTTTTCGTTTCGATTTTCTACGTATACTTTCCTAATTCGTGATTTCATCATGCCGAATATCATTTCCACCGGATTGAAAAAGGGACAGTAAGGAGGTATCCATACAGAGTTCTTTCCTGGGTATTGAAGTACTTTGTTGTTCTTTAGGGCAAATTCACGACATTCAAAAAATATCTTCCGGGTGAATGTTCCCTCTGTTTCAAAGCAGTCCAACACACCATGCAAACCCAGAAAACATAAGAATGATGCCCTGGGACGACGCACAAATTCACCCCGGAAAACGAGTCGTTTCCCCTTGATCCCGTAGCCACGATCCCTCAAGATGCTTCTGTTATCCAACGACACTTCGTCTAGAAATACTAGTTGATACGTATCCCAATCAAAAGAACTTAGTTCTGAGCAGTAACGGAGAATTTCATGCTCTTTGATTTGGATGGCCCTTCGTTCCAAAGCCTTCCACGTCAATCCTTCAGCATGAAAAATTCTGCAGATAGATGATCCACTAATCTTGATCTGGAATCGTTGGTAGAAAAGATCTCGACATTCCTCAAGGTAGAGAATCGGGTTCTGATGGTAGAGGTCCAAAATCCATTGCCTTTGTCGTGTACTGAATTTCCGGAATACTTGCTCCCGCTGCTTAGAGGAAAGTAGTCCATTCTCCTCGTAGGATGTTATCCAGCCGCTGATTGTTGTTTTGCTCTTACGGTATACAATTGCAAGCCTGGCTCTTGTTAGCCCGAGGGAATAGTAGCCATAAAGGCAATGATACTTAGTATTCGTGCTAGCTCTTTTATTTTCAACATTCTGTAGGATTACGTTGGCCATGTTCCTATTGTAAATAATCAATTTCCACAAAATCGACGGAAAACGAACAGCTATGAAAAATCAAAACAAACAATGACAGATGTCATAAATAAAACAGCGCATGCCAGAACTTGACAGATAGCACTTCTAATCACACTTATGCATGGTTGCACTTTCAAACTGTGCAGTCCATTTAAGGGAGAAGAGCGCAATAAATTATGAGCACATACATGGTGACACTTGTATACTTTTTGAATTTGCTCTTAATTTATTATACAAATAATGCTCATATTCATAGATTGTCATGCAAATTTATCCACATCAAATTGCATCACGGAAAAAAAAACGCTGTACACAATTACCCATTGGGTATTTTCTCTTGAAAATTTGGGTAGAAGTAGTTTAGAGTGTACTGTTTACACTGTATTTTTATCGCTGTCAGTTTATCGAAAGTAGGAAATAATTGGCGTTGACGGCACTGTCGAAAAATTTGCTCTTCCAGCAAATGTAGACAGTTTCTTATGGGAATTTTCGATGGAGTGAAAAGATAGTACGAAGTCCGCCATGTTTCACGCACAGTCTGACGTTTGCTCATGGATTTTCTCATAGGAGTAAAGAGCTACAGAGTCGCCGTCAACGCCAATAGCGTCACCCGAAAAGCAACGTCGCGAATTGATTTTGCGCAAGCACCTGGAAAATCCTCAACGGGACATCGGAAAACAACTCGGAATCGTGCAGTCAACGGTGAGCCGTGTGATTAAACGTTACTACGAAACTCTGACCATCGAACGGAAGGAGAAATGCGGTCAGAATGGATATTCTATTAGTGATCAGGATCACAAGCGTGTCGTGAAAGCGTTTAAGCGGAATCCCAATGCTTCGGTCAGGGATGTGGCCGAAAAATTGAATCTGTCCAAGTTTTCGTTCAGAGAGCCAAGGACCGGGATGGACTGCATACGTACAAAGTACAGAAGGCTCCTAATCGTGACGAACGGCAGAATACGGTGGGAAAGTCACGGGCCCGCAGACTGTACACCCAGATGCTGACGAATCCTCATTGTTCCACCATGGATGATGAGACTTACGTCAAGACGGGCTTCCGCAAGCTTTCGGGGATACTGTTCTTCACCGTCCAGCTCCCCCAACGCACCGAAACTAAGGCCCAACGAAAAATACTGGGCTATTATGAAGCAGGCATTATGGAAGCATCTTAAGGAGGTCAAATCTGAGGAAGACATGAAGAAAAAGTGGGTTTTCGTACAGAAGAAGCTGCAGCCAGATGTTGTACAGAGGCTAACGAGTGAAGTTAAGCGTAAGGTGCGAGCGTACGGTTATGTTATTGAAGTTGAATGAAATAAATATGCCAAAAGCTTACTAATGGGTTATATTTTACTGTCTGAATTTCTACAGCGTTTTTTCCGAGATGCAATTTGATGTGGGTGGGACACCTCTTAGTAGGATGTGGTGTACAGGGGTTACTCAAAATAACTAGGATAGGCAAATTTTTGGTCAACTTAGGAGTGTTGAAACTTCGTCAAATATGATCCGATTTTAAATCTTCCAAGAGCATTTGACTGGAAAACTAGTATTGTTCTACGGTGAAGCCACGAAAATAATCCTAGTCACCTAATACCGTAGATATTCCGGTATCCGGTGTATATATGGCCATTTCCCTGGAATCGGTTCTGGTGGAGGGTTCTGAATATGCTTTCTATAGACTTAAAGTGAATCATTGACCACATTGGCCGCTCTCGGAACCACTGGATACCCCCTGGGGAACCTGTAGCAGGGGGCAATTGCGTTTTTACTCAAAAACATGCCGTGCATCGAATAGAAATTGTAATGTAGGAAACATCAGCAGACATCTTCAATACATTAAATTTTAACGTGTATTGCTGTACCCTTAATGTATTCAGACTTCAGTGTGACGTCCAAGTACATAAAAATACATTCGCCTCAAACGTTACATCAGAATCAAACGTCTTGACGATGTAAAATTTGACATCAGAAAACATCCAATGACAACAGAACCTAACGTTACATTAGAATCAAAGTTCATCACGATGTAAATTGTTGTCCCTCGGTCCCTCGCCGCATGCAAAGTTTGTTTTGTCCTGAGTCAGCACTACACGGCGAGTAACGACCCAAATTTGAGTTTAGTTCACTCATGTTTTCCAGGTTTTTCCAGGAAAATTTTTCCGAATATAAGAAAAGCAAAGATTGGATTCTCTGGATTCTCATCAATTTTCCTAATTTTAGGGCAGATTTTTGAGATTTTCCACTGGAAAACATGCGGTAAATTTACTCATCCTCCACTTTTTTCGATATTGAGTGCACTTTACTCAAATTTGCGTTGATCTCATTGGGCGTGTACAGTTTTTTTCGCAGTGGAAAAAGTTTGGTTTTTCGATAAATTAGCCCGGGAAAGTGCCGATAATGTGTCCGTCGCGAGTTTTGGTGGCGATTCAATGTTTTTCTGGTAAGTAAATGTGAATTTATTAATGTAATGTAATGTAATTATGTTTTTTTAGGAGAGTGTACCAGTACCAAGCCGAATCCCGGTAGGGAACGCGAAGCTGGATCCCGGCGGGGAGTTTGCAGCCGGATCTCTTTGCAGGTTAGTGAGTGTGTTTACTAAAAGCTACAATAAAGTAGAAGTGGACCCCGATGGAAATCCGATGACGGGTTCCGTAGACGGATCCTGATGACGGGATTCCGTAAAGGGATCCCAATGGGGAAACCGAATACGTATCCTGATGGGGATTCCGTAGACGGATCCCGATGGAGAAATCGAATACGGATCCCGATGGGAAAACCGAATACGGGTCCCAATGGGGAAACCGAATACTGGTCCCCATTTAGTTTATTTGTAGTTATAGGCAATATTGGAAGTTGTTATTTTAACTAATTCAAATATCAATCAGATCTTCGATGTTTGCTTACAATTGAATTTTGGGGAAGAAAGAAAACTCAATAAGTAATGATAGGATGAGGCTGAACAGAAACTTTTTGATTGTGTATAGTGGGAGTTCGGATTGTTATGCAACTATCTGTATCTGGTAGGGGGATATTATAGCTTCTCACTGGATTCAGCTTGAGTTGGGTTTGATTATATCAGAATATACCCTGCATTATTATGTGTGTCGATAAGCATATATTGCATGGGGGAATTTTGTTTAGTTTGGAATAGATACTGGTTGAAAATATCGAGAACAAAATGTAAAAACTTCATAAGATTGAATAAAATTTTGAAGTTTTTGGAAAGTATACATATGCTTACATAGCTGAACACAAAACAAATTTAATAATAAGCTTGATGCAGTAGGTTTTTGGTTTGCGTTGTTGGGCATATTATTTACTTTTGTGAATTCTAACTCAAATGTTCTAAATATCAATTTCTTTAAATAAAATCAAGTATTTTATTATTCTCTTCAGCAATCGTGGGGATGGGAGTGATAGCAGTAGTGGGGGAGACTTGGTGACTAATCCGATGAAACTGTCACTTCTTGAAGCTAATCTTTTTCGTATGTATTTCCTTCATTCTCTTTTCACACTTTGCATATGACACCATCTATGTACATTGGCGAACCAGCCAATGGCTGAAAGCCTTGTAAATAAAGCAATAAAAAAAAAATATTTACATTGATATCTACATTGATTCAATGATGTGCGGAGAGCTCATTCCGAATGATCAGTGGACCAGCCTCGTCCCAGATGATCATGGCAATGCAAGAAAATTTGTTTTCGTTGAAGGAAGTATCACAACACAGGTAATTGCTATTAAATATTTTTGCAGACAGTGACAGATGGTGAACATGACGATCCAGTCAAGCTGTTATATCATAGACAAATGGTAAGTTCCAAATTCGCTGTTGTCGCTGTTGCCAGTCCCTAATAAACAAATACCATAAACGAACTGTATCCCGGATGGGTAAACTATCCCATAAATGGTTTGGATGATACCCCCAACACGTCGTAAATTAATTAACCGTGAATCGCAGAAACTATACGAATTATCGCGTATCTCTTTTGTTCATTATATGCCAAGTTAAAACATAATCATATATTGTCGTGGAATGTTGTGGTTTTAAGATGCTCGATGACCCAGGAGGGATCGTTTTTGCTTACCGAGCAGAAAATCATGGGTTTGAACCGAGGGGGGCGACACATCTAAATCTCAAGTTTAGATGCTCAACAAATCTCACACTAACGAATCAATCTTCGAAAAATCTTCTTTCATTTGTCGCATCTACTTGCATCGTGCATCATCTTTTTGCAGGAAATCTTCAGAATCGTCATCAATCTTCTTTCTATCTTCTCAGCGTGCGCGCAGCTAGCCACAGCAAAACACAATCTTTTCTGCATCGTAGATAGAGTCGTCCCCCTCGGTTTGAACCCAAACCCTCCCACAACAGAATAAACCGCCAACGCTAATCTAAAGCGCCGTAATAATAAAAACAAATTATATGTAAGTTTAAATAATTTTTAATTTTAAATATAAATAAATATTCCGTATTAATTAACCATAAAATATTTCGTTGATTTACGCCTCAGCATTTTGTTTTTTGCATGGTCAATAACATTAGCCGATTATTGTAAACGTTACAACAGCCTGTAGTGCCATTAATTTTCGTTTCGTGTGGAAAACCTGGAATTGGGTTGTATAATTTCGAAAAACAAACAAATTTTTATACATCATCTGAACGAGCTTCGTTTTCTGAGCACAAATATATTTTTATCGTTCCCATAGACATTCATCTCGATTTGTAAACCAAGATTTAAATTGTCGATAAATTGCATTAGATGGCATTAATATCCTTTAAATGGCAGTTCGCTCTATGGCGAGGGCCGCTAAAATGGTGATGTTTGCAAATGTAATGTTCATGTGAACCAAAATTTATGAAATTTTGGATTTATGTGTTTAATAATTTATTTGATAAGGCTCAACCGAATTAACTTTACAGAGGCGAGGATTCTTGGTCACTATACAATACATCTTAAAACTATAGTCAAAAGGTACAACACAATAAACACTTTATCTTCCGCTATCCAAAAAGCCTCCTCCATCAGAACTGGAGCCGCTTCCAGTGGTTTCATTGTATGGCAGATACACCATCGGTGGGCAAAGCGCTTCCATTGCAGCAATGGACGCAAAACGTGGTCAGCACTCACACA